ATCCTGGCTGCCATTTACACCCCATAGACATGCACACACAAGTTTTTGATATGAAAAGGAAATGAATATGACTGGGTTTGGTGCCCTTCTCCTCCCCACTTCTCCAGGTACCTAGAAGAGGGAAATGTGCAGGCCGCAGAGTCGCAGAAGCGGCGAATCGAGCAGTTGCAGCGAGACCGGCGTCGGGTGATGGAGGACAACAACATTCTTCATCAGGCGCGCTTCTTCAGGTGCTTCCTCCCTTACTTCCTGTTGTTTCTTCCTCCATGGAGCCTATGGCCAGGTTTTTACATAAACGCCAACCCATGGTTCATGTAAGCTGTGGCTTATTTAGCAAACCAGGAGTTAACTATGGTTGGTGAAGCAAAGTATCCTGTTGCGAGGAGGTGGAACTCGAGTCTCCTTGCCATTTAAAGAAGCAGAGCAGAGGATGCAATATTAAAATTAAACATGTAGTCTTCCTTGATTTGCATCTATATACAGGTTGCGGGATTCATCCTTTTTTGGGACATGATTCTTTTTTATTTTTGTAAGCATATAGACTACACACACACACACACACACACACACACACACACCATAGGTTGCATCCCGTCAACATCCAAGTTCCCTGCTTCCGAGGGGTGAATCAAAACATGTCCTGCTTTTGAAACATGAATTGGTAGTGGCTCCAGACGCATTTCCTCTCGCCAAACCGTTAACCCTGACTCCTAACGGGTTCCTTTTCTTCTTCCTTCTTCCTGGCAGGCGGCAAGTGGATGCAAATGGCAAAGAATCCTGGTTAACCAACAGCAGCTACTGGAAGCTGAGGGCGGAGCCTGGCTTCAGCAATATGGACAGCGCCGTCTTGTGGTAGCGGTTAGCAACCGCGGGAGCGGCTGTGTCTGCCCGCCATCTCCCAAAGCAGGGGGGTAGGAGACCAGACAGCAAGGACCCCCTGCTAGATAAGCACAAAGGTGACCAAGGCATGCAATCCTGGGATTACCAGCACCTCATGAAGCGGAGGGACGCCTTTCGGTGTTGCGCCATGCACTTCCAAAGCAGCCCTACCCCCCTCGCACACTTGAGGAAGGCGACCGTGGTCCATCTCGCCTCCTCAGAACTGCTGCCTGCTGGCTAGGCAGACCTTGGTGTGGAGCCTTGGGTTGCCGCGGATGCCGACAGGAAGCACTTTAACACCCGCCGAATCACAAATCGGCTCCGGGGCAGAAGCAGCGGGGCCAGCGAGACTGGACGCCCCCCCCCCAAGCAACTTGAAAATGGGAAACCGCTCTTTAAATTTTCGAAGCCTGCCTTTTGTTCAGAGACCAGTGGCAAATGTGCGCTCCACTGTGGAGTGGTTGTTTGCACAGCAAAGCCTGGATACCGGACATTTTGGGTCCTCCTGACTACCTAGTAGTTTCCTTCTGGGGGGTGGCTGGTCGCGCCCTCCCTCCCCTCCTGTTTTTTTGGTTGTTTTCATGTCGCTCCCGGTGGTTGTTCTGAGGTAAAGCCTGGCCTAGGTTAGGAATTCCTGCTCCGGGAGCAGATTATAATATGTGAAGCTGTGGTAGCCCTCTGAGGCAACTCTCTTTCTCCCCGCAAGGCGGCTGTAGGACAGGAATTGGGTTAATGTCGCTCTGAGCCAGAGATGCCTGGTATGGCAGAGACTCCAGGACTTTTCCCCACGCCTTAAGGAAGTCCTCTGAGTTCTGGGCCACTGTTGGGGCTTATAGCATTGAATCAGGACATTGTGTGTATGTGTGTTTTGTTTCCCTTCATCACCCCATCTCTGGTATCTCCTTCCCTCCCTATTTGCTAGGATTGTAAGCCGTTCTCCTCCTCCTCCCCAGTCCTTCAGCATTTGAAGCAATAATTTAAAAAAGTGGGGAAACACTGGCACTCCCACAGTCCTTTGCAGAAATTTGTACCTCAGCATCAGGTCAGGGTCTCTCAGAACTTGTGATATTCAAAGCTGCCTCGATTATGATTGAATGTAGAGGTGTGTGTGTATCATGGGAGCAAAACACATATTCTGATCTCTTTCTCAGCTGTGGCAAGAGGAATATAGACTATCCTGAGGCTCGGGTCCTGTTTTGAAGGGAGGGAAGAAAGGAGGAAGTTCTGGCTGAGTCTAGAGCAGCCCCACACAAGTTGTGGCCCACCAAGCCAATGCAGACCAGCGAGTGTTTGACAATCCCCACTATCGTTGCATTTCCAGATTTATTGAATGCCAGAGGGGTTGCAGTACACATGGTTAATTTGGCTTGGTGGGTTACAAGGTGTTGCAAGCTCAGTCCAGTGGCTCCGTTCACACCTAAGTTTCCAATTTTATGGTTTGTGTTCCTGGTTTCACCCCCCACCCAGTTTTCAAACTCTGTTTCGGGAAGTACTGTAACTGGAAAATGCTGCATGTCTTTATGAAGTTACAAAGTTCAGGCACAAGTATGAGACCATCATGCAGAACTCCTAGGACCATTTTCCATGCTCCTATATCCTGCAAACCTGTCTGAGCTTTCCCAGCACTATTAAAACAAACATCTACTGCCGAAGTGGAGAAATGCAACATGTGAAGCAGCCCTCAGTTCTCTGAATTCCCAATCTGGATGCAGGGCAGCCTAGGGACATCACAGCTTTATATATTTTTAGCGTCCAGACTCTATGTTCTTTTACTGCAGTTCACCACTGTGTTGCCCAACTCACCCCGAGGTGGTCAAGAACCTTTTCCCCCTTTTTTTCTTGTTTACTGGCCCAGCCTCACCATTTACATGGGTCTGAAGTGGGTGGCATCATTAACTGAATGTCTACAAAGCACTTTGGTTCCCTTCCTTGCTGGTTTGCACACGGTTGGAAACTGAGCCTCACTTTTCAGCTTTGATCTTCTATTTTATTTTAAGAGATACTTCCTGAAAGGGTTTTGATAATCGCTGCATAGGAGGGGGAGCTTTAATTTATTCCCCGTTATTCGCTCCTCCCTCTCTGCCCCTTCCCGAAGATTTCTTGCCCAACAGATCCAGATTGGTGTCCTGTCTTGTTGTCTGCCCCTCCTTTCTGTGTGCTGGTTGTCTTTAATGTCTCGTCTGGCCCACAAAGCAGGTCGGCCTGCTCTTCGTTCACCTCACCTGGCTGGTCCAGTGATGAGCCGCCGTTCCGTCTTCTGCGACCATGTTGACTGGCCTCTGTTCTGTCTTTGTGTTGTGGCTTGAACACTCCACGGCGTGTCCAATAATAAAAACAAAGATTTCAGAAAAGTTCCAGCGTGTGGCGGCCATTTTGTTCATCCTCCTCAGCCGGCAAGCATGTGTGATCAACTGCTTGTCCCTCACCATCAGTAATTGAATAGTAAAGGTAAAGGGACCCCTGACCATTAGGTCCAGTTGTGGACAACTCTGGGGTTGCGGCGCTCATCTTACTTTACTGGCCAAGGGAGCCGGCGTACAGCTTCCGGGTCATGTGGCCAGCATGACTAAGCCGCTTCTGGCGAACCAGAGCAGCGCACGGAAACTCCGTTTACCTTCCCGCCGGAGCGGTACCTATTTATCTACTTGCACTTTGACGTGCTTTCGAACTGCTAAGTTGGCAGGAGCAGGGACCAAGCAACGGGAGCTCACCCTGTCGCGGGGATTCGAACCGCCGACCTTCTGATCGGCAAGTTTTAACCCGCAGAGCCACCCGCGTCCCAACTGAATAGTAGTTTAAAAAAAAAAAGCCACCATTCATATGCCCTTTTTTGACTGCTCAAATTGCACAGTACATATTATCCCCCTAAAAGCAACTGTGGAATAGGAGCAATTTTTTTAAATCAGGCCCATATTGCAGGTAGCGGCCAGATGTCACTTCATAAATCTGTGGTTGTGGAAAGGTTCAAAAGGGTGAATTGCTGCCAAAGATACTGTGCTACAGCCCCGGTTTAAGATGATTTTGACAGATGTGTGTTAACTGCAGCCACCAGCCCTGCCATGGTGCAGGAAAGTCTACCACTTTCTGGATTAGCAGAGTGTGACAAGCAGCCAGAGTAAGTACTTAACTACAATGGCTCTCAGTACATTTCTGAGCACAAGTCAAAGTGTTGGTGCTGACCTTTAAAGCCCTAAACACCCTCAACCCTGTATACCTGAAGGAGCGTCTCCACCCCCATCGTTCTGCCCGGACACTGAGGTCCAGCTCTGAGGGCCTTCTGGCGGTTCCCTCACTGCGAGAAGCCAAGTTACAGGGAACCAGGCAGAGGGCCTTCTCGGTAGTGGCCCCGCCCTGTGGAATGCCCTCCCATCAGTTGTCAAAGAAATAAACAACTCTGACTTTTAGAAGACATCTGAAGGCAGCCCTGTTCAGGGAAATTTTTAATGTTTGATGTTTTATCGTATTTTTAATACTCTGTTGGGAGCCGCCCAGAGTGGCTGGAGAGGCCTGGCCAGATGGGCGGGGTATAAATAAATTATTATAATTTATCATAATCAGGGCCATGCCTGCACCAAACCTTTAAAGCGGTATACCACTTTAAACAGTCATAAGTTCCCCCCAAAGAAATCTTGGGAACTTTAACGGTGCAGAGTTGTTAGAAGACCCCTATTCCCTTCATAGAGAGCTGCAATTCCCAACAACACTCAGCATCCTTTACAAATGACACTTCCCAAGATTATATTTTTGGGGGGGGGGACCATTAGCCTCTGCTATGTTTCAAGGAATACTGGAGCACACGACTTTGGCCCATGAGGTGAATCCACTTGGGGGCAGAGGCAACAATGGCTTGGTCTGGACGTGAGCCTGTCGGTGGGGAATGAGGCATAAGGACACTTGACACAGATAATTTACCGTAAGTTTCTTTTCCTGTAGACAAGTAAACAATGATGCTTGGCGTCCTAATCATGACCCAGTGAGGTACACCAATACTATCTCCGAACTACAGATGGGGATACTGTCTTAAAATATAAATAATAGGTACCTTACTTCCTGATCCAGGCAGAAGAAATTTGACAGACATGGCAAGCTGCATTTGTCACGTGGAGAGACACCCAAAGAACTAACAGCTTTACAGTTTATTTAAAGAAATTCTTAAGCCAAAACGAAAACTCAACAGGCAGCCTGTACACTGCTATCAATAAATATTTGCAAATGTCAAGAATTTTTGTTGTCTTGAAAAATAAAAAAAGAGAGAACCTCAAAACACCACAAAGACCATTGTGTCTTTTACATCTACATAAATTTTTTTTTGTTTTAAGAGTGTAAACAGTTAGGAGAGCTGAGCCTAACTCCCCCCCTCCGCCTCCGAGAAACTCAGCCGGGTTTGGCGAGCCACGGGGAGCGCTTAAAAGGGGAGAGTGTGTCCCATTTGATTGTCTAGCATAATTAAAATTCACTTCACCAAATGACCATCAAGTCTTTCCAGGATTATAAAATACCACCAAGATTTGAGGGAGGGAAGGGGGAGAGGAAATCTCTTTAGAGGAGGAGGAGGTGGAAGTATAAAAATACAACCTATGTCTTTGCCTCCTGCTTTCCATAAAACTAATTACGGAGGGCTTTAAATATGATCATTTTGGACACAATCCACTGTTCATTGTAGACCTGCCCCATTGAAATGTATGGTGTCTCTTGTTTTATTTCTAGGGAGGCATGCGAAGATGCCCAGGTGACTTGTCCCTTTTTTTGCCTTCTGCTTTGGGGATCTCACCAAATCAAAGTGTGCGCTCTGCGGCACACACAGCTAAACAGTGAGGCACAATGCTACAAAAATTAGCCAAGGGGCTTTCTGTACGGATAACCCCCTATGGCTCTGTACAAGAGAGCTTGCTTCCCCCCTACTTCACCTCTCCTCCAATCTCTCTGCGTAGGCATCTCCACATCTGGCACAAGAGGACTACCTGAGAAACCTGTCCCTTTATACCAGGGATGAGGAAACCTGTGGCCCTTCAGGTGTTACCAGACTCCAACTCCCAGCAGCCCCAGCCCCTGTGGCCAATGGTCAGGGAGGGTGGGACTTGTAGTCAAGCAATATCTGGATGCCCATAGGTTTGCCATCCCTGCTGGTTCCATTTACTAATTTGGGGCACTGGCCTTCATTGAGGGCTCATGGCTGTTGTCTGGCATGTAGGAAGCAGGGGGGGGGGGAGAGAGAGAAAGAAAAAGGCAGGCAAATCTTTGTGTTGCATAAATCCCACCTAAGGCCTGTTCTGTTGTTGCTTTTGATGGATGGCAGCTCTTCCTGCATTGCCCAGGTATGTCAGGTCTGACGCTATTTGAAGAGAGTCCATGTTGCAGGGCTATCCCCACCCCCGCCAGGAATCTTTCCACATGTTCTTGGACCTTGAATTCTGGTTCTTGAAATCCCAAGAGATGGAGGAAGGTGTTTCAGCATTTCCAAGTCTGCCTAAAGGCAGTGCTGCGAGATGCCCATCTGAGAATACGCTGGTTAGTTAGCGGGGCTTTTTTCCCAGCTGGAACTTGCCGGAACTCAGGCGGGCGCCATTGCCATTATTATAAGAGAATGAGGGAGGTGTTCATGGTGAGTTCCAGCAGCTCTTTTTCAAGAAAAAAAGCACTGGTTAGCAAAAATGAGTGGTTTGCATTATCACATGTTTTCAAACCATCGGCTGGGCCTGGGATGAAGAACTCCAGAGCTGGCTTTAACCTCTGGCTTGTTTACATGTTCTAGGGCTGAACTGAGAATGGGAAGGCAGTCATCACCCTCTTGTCAAACCCAGGGAGCTTAAAACAGAGTATTTATCTCAGATGTGTGAAATTCACAGTTTACTTGAGAAATGGCGACCCAGGAATGGCCCAAGAGCATTTGTAAGGGAGCATGGCTGTGACATCCCAGATTTCTGGCTGAAGTGAAGGCAGGCTGCTGCCTCAGGGGTAGCAGTTCTCTTGCCCCAAACTACGTACCGTCACCTATAATGATAATTGCACACGACTCCAGAGCGAGGATGTGGGAATGCCTTTTAAATGCACATTCACATACTCATTACATTGAATGCAATGTGGTGCGGACAGACATGATTAGAACTCAAATGTGCATTCTGGCCTGTGTTGAATTGCATCTGATACATGCTCGAGGTTCCCAGTCCCCCTCTGGAGTGGGCCAAAAGACTTTGCAAACGAAGTCTCAGAACTGCAATGAGCTTCAAGGGCAGAATTTTCTCAAGCAAATTTTCCTGATTTCTAGCTGCTCCCCACCCAGGAATCCCAAATTGGCATGCTGGGGAAACCAGAGTATGAACGTAATCATCTCAATCTGGATCTCGTTTCATGTGATGTCAATGTATGAATAAGTGTGCAGGAGCCCGGGAGGGGATATGCCCTCAAAATATACACTGGAACGCCTACCCCATTCTAATCAATGCAGGACGATCTCATACAGACACACATCTGGGTTTTTTCCCTGTGGTTCCCAATTCAGCAAGTGAGGAGTACAACGAAGCCTGCTTCTGTACGCAGATTTCCTTGGCTGGATCAGGGTTGACTTTAAACCGACAAGCACCGTGTGGCTTTAAAAACCCATCCCACCCAAAGTTGGATTTTTATTTCTGAATTTCTCCCTGGGCTTTGAATCTCTCAAGAAATTTTGCTTCCGTTCTCCCCAGTGACACATCCACAAAACTAAACGTGGGTGGGAGCGGAGACAGGAAGCTGCCCTGGCAAGCGCAGGCTGCGCTGCTGCACATGTGAGTGAAAGCTCTTTGGGTCTGAACATAAGCCCAAGAACTCGCCGCCACCATGCGGGCATCTGTCCGCAAAGGGGAGCGCACGTTTTAACACCAGCAGACTAGCACCTGGAAGTGGCTGAAGAGGGGCGGAGGGCGGGGAGATACAACTACATACAGCTTCATTTGTGCCATCGCCATTATTTCCGGCAGTGCCCATAAAGGTGCGAAACTTTCCCCCAAACCAAGAAGGGGGTCTGTCCATTTTCCTTTTTACAGGTTACCCCTGATATGAACGGAGGAGAGCTGGATGGTGAGAAGGGCCCCATCCCCACCCCGTGTTTCCCTGACAGGTTTCTATCCCGCCTTCCCACTTCAGTTGCCATAGAAGCCATAATAGCCCCCATCCCCTCCTTCTTTGTCATAGAGCTCCCCGTTGCGGATGGGCGGGGAGCTCTCGGCGCTGGAGACGTAGGGGGACACGCGGCGGCGCTTGCACTCGGCTTCGTACAGCCCGGAGTCCGAGGAATCGGCCGACTTCACAGAGCCGGGCTCGGCCCAGCCTTCGCTGTCCTTCCCTTTCTCGTCGGCGGAGGGCACCGCCTGCAAGTCCCTCATGGGCCGGAACCAGCTCAAGGCCCCCGGGGTGGGCTTGGGGTGGTGATACTGAGGTGGGGAGCTCCAGGTGGCAGGGGGCCCGAAGGGATGCTCCTGGTAATAGGGCAAGGAGGGGTGCGGCGCCGCCTGTAGGGCAAAGGGCTTCATTCCGTACGGCATGAATTTGTTCCCTCTGAAGTCGCCCTCGTAGGTGCCGTATTCCAGAGGGGCAGAAGGGGGCTGCTGGGAAGCGAAATACCAGTGGTGGGTCTCCTTGGGCGGCAGAGGCAAAGGGGCCCGCTCCCTGTTGTAGAAGCGGCTCTGAGGGAGCGTGTACTGATCGTGCAAGAAGGGCTGGAAGCGGCTGCTGGTGAGGAGCTGCTGGCAGCTGGCGGCACTGGGCGGGGATGGAGTTGTGCGGTCTCCTTCGGTCGTGGTGTACATCCTGGAGGACAGGAAATGGCCGGGTCAAACAGGAAGTTAATGTCTTAAATGGGACAGCACACCGTTTTCAAAACCCACTTCAAGCCACAGCTTCTGCTTCTTGGCTTTATTGCTGTCTTTATTTGCAGGCCACGGTTTGTCATTACGGAATCGTGCCAAACCATAGTTAAAGCTTCCTTTAGAGCCGTGGTTTGGTGTGCTATCTGAACTGATCTACTGTATGAAATATTCCCCCCAGGTGCTAGAAGGGAAAATAACCTAGCTCTAAACAGAAACGGTTGAAGTAGGTGGGTGTAGGAGAACGTGAGCATTTTTGCAGGATTCTGATGCAAATTGAAATTGGGAGATCGCCACAGTAGTCTCCCCCCGGGACCAACGTGTACTCAAACAGGCAAGCCAAATTGACATTGGGTAAGTAGAAGAGAGACTTACGAATCAAAGTTGTCCCGGAAGCCTTTAGCAAAAGGATTGTGGTCTATCTTCAGCTGGGTGATCTAAGCGAAAACAAAGAAGAAAGCTATTGTTCTGAAGTTCAGTACCAGAAAAACAGATGTACCTCATTGCACCCCATATACTCCCAAATTCCTTCATAGCCTTTTATCTGCTTCCATTCCTCTACCTCCTTTATTCCTGCCACCAATTCCCATCATGATGGGATTTGGGTACCGATGTAGTGAATGATGGGATGAATGAAAGCACATTTCTTCACATTTTGTAGCTGCTGCACAGAAATCCACTGTGTCAGGTGTGGGAGTGTGGAATGTGAGTGACCAGAGACAACAGTGATCTAGTAATAATCCTGTCTGTGCCTTCCATGTACCCCAACCCGTTTTGCTCACAAGCACAACTTTCTGCCATTGAAGATCTCTAAACAAGAGAGCGTCTGGCAACCAAGGAATCACTTTTGGATGTCATGCTAAATTAACCATGGTTTACAGTTGGCTTGTTTCTAACAAACCATGGTCAACATTAAGCACACCTTGCCAGCTCGGATTATTATTATCATTTATAGTTATTCTCTATCTCACCTTCTGTCTCAAAGAAGCCCAGGATAGCAAATGTCAAAACATAAATAAAACATTTATTTATTTCGACTGCATCAGACCAACACGGCTACCTACCTGAACTTAAAATAAGCTGTTTTAGATAACACTACAAAGCTGTGGTTAAGTAAAAGAGAAAGGTAGATTTGAATGGGGTTGGTGGGCAGCACACAAGCGTGAGGCTTGCTGTGGCTTGTTATCATCACACTAAACTATGGTTTGAACTCTCCCACTTCTTGTTTATGAAGTCACCAGCACCATAGCTTTTAGTATCTTTATAAAGCTATGTTAAACATTTGGTGCCAGTCAACATCATCACTGCGTACGGAGGTGGTAGAATCTGTCTTCTATGAGCTTTTACGGGCTATCAGATTATGTGTAATAAACACACAAGTTGTTACTCTGTTGTTGAGGAGGACATCACCCCTCAGTTAAGAAAAAATGTCTTTTTGCCAGGAATGTTTTGCCACAGGCAGAAAGTTATTTTCATCCTAGTTTGCAAGCCTACCGTGATAAGTTTATATGGCTACACAAATATCATAGGTATGTATTAACTAGTGCATTATATAAACTGGTGGCAAGCAACACAGCTCCCCTTCCTCTACACTCTCACACATGCTCAGAAGCACTCGAGTTTCAAATACTTTCGGCATGTTCTGAGGTTACACCCATGCTGAAATATGAAAAACCTGCACTCACAGATTCCAGGTGAATGCATACCTCAGTTCCCAAACCCTGCACAAACCAATATGACCCTCTTTCCCAGACCCGACCCGACCTCTTCTATCCTATCTGTTATCCAAACGGTGAGCAGTCGCGACTGAGATTGCAAACTCACGTCAGCATTCTGGTACGCTGTAACGGCAATGAACTGAGTCTCGGGGAAGGTGAAGGTCTGGCTACAGATGGAAGGGTGTACTTTGTCCACCTCGCCGTCCTTGGCCTCGGTGACATGTAGACGGGGCTGGTACTTGTGCAAGGACTGTAGCACGATCATCTGTCGGACAAACAGGACAAGGCACAAGATCCATGAATAACGTTATGTCAGTATATTCCATGACATTAACTCTCCTGGTTTTGTTTGTTTGGAGGAGAAAACTGATTTAGGAAGCCACCATTACCTGTGTGACATTGTTGGACGCTCCTTTGTTATTGGTGAGCTTCAGCTTCCCGAAGGAGATCTCCTGCCGCATCCAGTGGGCTCCGGTGTTGGGAGAATCTGGGTGCATGTACGTCCGATTCCCTGCCGGAAAGAGGGCATTTCTAGTAAGCATCTCTCAGCCTTATTGCCTAGGTCCAGGTCAAAGCACAGACAGCCCTAGTGTTGGTCTACACAACAAACATTTAAACTGCTTTGAAATCACTCCAGCTGGATTGTCCTACAAAGTGTCAGGAGCTCGTCCTACACTCGAGTAGGACCCTGGCAGAGACACATGCCTGACTGGCATTTTCTCTCCCTACTGGTCTTTCGTTCGGGAGCTTCAAAAGCTTTCTTCAGTCCAAACATCACAGCGACCGATGCTAACAGACACACTTGGGGATTCGCAGAGTCTTCGCAGCTTGCATGACAGAACCCCAGCAACTCAGCACTTTGGCTAATCTACTTTATTTACACATATATACACACACACACACAGAGCACTGCAACATGGCTCCCTCTCTCTCTAGCATCAGACAGCAAAGAGAAAGGACAAAGGACAAGAGTCCCACTTAACGGAACACAGTAACACAAACATCCTGTCTCCGTCACTTCCCACTCTGTGGAGTCAAAACATATACCGTCATGTGAAAGACAACAATCCCATGACTGCAATCATGGAGCAGGAATTCTAACACAAAGAGCCCTAAGGAATTGCTGGACTGTGGGACTGCTGAGAGCTCTTCCTTAGCTCCAACAATCATGCCAAGGGTTTCTTGTTGGAAGTCGTGATAAATAAGCAGTGTTGAAAATTGTTTCAGAGCTTGTAGCATAGCACAGAGAAGCCAGGCCTGGTGTTAAGCACACTGGGGTTCACACACCTGGCTGAACTGACACCTTGCCCACCTGGCGTAATAGGATGGGTGCCAGCTGCAGCAGTGCAGGCAGATGGGAGTGGGCACGTAGCAGCAGCAGCAACTGGGGACAGTCATTGCTGCGGGTTTCATCTATGCCCCCCCCAGCCCCGCATTATGGAGCCAGGCCCAATAGGAAGCAAATTGATGACCTTGTCCAAGATAAGATCACAACCGGGACTATCATTTCAGATTCCCGTTGCAGGTGGAAGAGGCAAGAATCACAGCAAAATTTAAAGGCCTGCTGTTGGACAGATGGAAGATTAAACGTAAATCGCTGCATAGAATTTAGAGGGGGGTCAGCGGGTGAAACTCTCAAATATAAAGCAAAATGCATGCATTGATCCCAGCAAACCAAGATGGTGTAAGGAGTGTACAACGTAAAAAGCAAAAGAAATTTTGTGTGTGTGTACTTTGAATGGGTTTAATGATTCACATAGATTGATCTGTAAAATAAATTTACTGAAAGTGAATTATATTTCATTTGGTTATTTGTTCACTGTGTGTGTGTGTGTGTGTGTGTGTGTGTGTGTTGTGTGTTTCTTCTTAAACTTACATCCTGCCCCTTATGTACAGAGAACTTCAAGGACTGTTAACATTATAAACCATTCAAACAATAAATGCTCAAGAAATTGAATTAAAAATGGCAGAGTTAATACATCACAGCAGGCTAAAACCATGTTCAGCTAATATTTAAAAAGCTCTGGGAAAACAAAAGAAGGCCTTTGTTTGGCACGCAAAGAACATGAGTGTATAACGTCAGGCAAGTTTCCCTGGAGAGAGCATGTAGTTACATTCTTGAGCTTTAAAAAGAAAGGTACCAGCATTCAAGTTAAATGGAAAGTCATGTCCTCTGCCCTAGATGCTCAGCTCTTAATACTAAATGCATGGGGTGCAGACTAGTGGTTTAGGTAGTGGCAAAGGACATGCACAACGTTATCGAAACATTGGTTCTGTGCAAAGCACTGTGCTTTAACAAGGAAGCGATTCAGTTTCTTCTCTGGACCACCAGATGGGGCTGTAGCTCCTGAGAATGGGGAGGTGGGGGCGCTACAGAGCAAACAGGGCAAAGGCAGCAGCTGCTGGACTTAAAAAAAAAAAGAAGATATACTGTGATTTCATTTCCAAAAGTATTTGGTTAGATTTAAATAAACTTTTTTTTTTAAAAAAAAAAAGTTAAAACTGTTGTGATGCCTTTGTTCAAAAGTTCTCTGTGAATGCTCTAACCTGCCCTGGGTATGTAAGACTTGAGGACTAAAAAAGTTGAAGTAAATAAATTATCAATTAAATAAAAGGGAATCCACATTAGGGGAAAATAAAAGTCTCCCCACCCACCCACTGCTCAGCAAATTCATGCATAGGAGAAAAGGGGGGGGGGACTTCAGAACTCTCCCTTGCCAAATTCATTTAGGGTCTAATTAAAAACTGCCACTAAGAACGAAGGGTTGAATTTGGACTCCCGCCGAAAAAGGTCTTAAATAACCCAGCTAGATTAGAATAATTTCCCATATTCAAAATTCTTCAAACTTTCTCATGGTTAGAACTTTCATATACAACTTTTTGGAGGAGAGTCATTACGTTGAATTTGGCGCAAGATTCACACGTGAAGTAGAAGTAAATGCAAGAAAGCCCACAAGAATTTGCAGAGTGCTTTCCCCTCACTTTGCACGAGTCCTGCAAAACCTAGATGTTGCTTTTCTGTCTGGCTCATTTCCACGCAGCCTGGCAGTATAAGGCCCCGAGTAATTTAACAGTTGTTGTTGGGGGCAACATTTAGCTGGTATTTGTGTCATCACAGAATTGTAGAGTTGAAAGAGAGCATGACGGGTAATCTATTCCACCCTCCTGAAATGCAGGAATCTTTTGCCCAACATGGGGCTCGAACCCCAACTCTGAGATGAAGAGTCTTATGCTCTGCCAACTGAGCTACCAAGGTGGATTATTCTTTTATTTCTATCATTTAGGATAAATTGTTAGTGAAATGGTTAGCCTTAGTGTGTATTTGTTAATATGAGCTCTTCAATTGCCAATCTAATTTTTTAATGACAATTTAATTGCTGTTATGTTTTGCAACGGTTGGTTTTCTTGAAATAGCGCTATATTTTAGAGCCACTGTGACATAATGGTTAGAGCATTGTACCAGGACCTGGGAGAGCAGGGTTCGAATCCCCACTCAGCCATGAAGCCCCTCGGGCCAGTCACGGCCTCTCAGCCTAACCTACCGCACAGGGTTGTTGTATGGCTGAAATGGGGGGAGGGGGAGAACCATATACACCACCTTGAGATCCTTGGTATATAAAGATGGTTTATAAGTGTAACAAATGAATAAAAATGTTTTTTTATTATGCAAACTTTCCTGATGTGAGCTACTTTCTGAGAATGGTTTACCATGGGAAAACATATATAAAGAATCTAGCCATGATGAAGGAATGAAGGGGGAAGAACAAAGGAAATGTGTTCTGTAGCAATGTTTTTCCTCAGATGATGTTGGACTACAATTCCCATCGCCTCTCTCCCCTGACCTGGCTGGGGATGATGGGAACTGTAGTCCAACAACATAGGAAGACCTAAGTTGAAAGAACACTTGTCAATAGGAAGTGGTCAAAAAACTGTGGCAAGATTTCAAGCACTGGGGAATTCAAAACTTTGCTGCTGTTCTGTGACATTTTGGTTAGTCCTAATAAAAGTCATGGCCCAACTGTGGATTTTGTAGATTCCCTACCCATGGGCTAATATGTCTAACTCTGCACTGGAAGATAATTCCTCCCTCATACCTGGCATATTTCCTTCTGCTTTGCCGCACTGCACCCATTTCCCGCCTTGGTATCGCCAATGGTGTTGATCCACTAACACAATGTCCACAAAGATGCTGTAATGGGCGACAGGGTCCAGTCCAGAGATGTTGAAGCTCAGAAATGGGAACATCCTCCTAAACAGTGTTGCGGAGGGAAGGGGAGAGAAAAAACACAACCATTTGTAAAACAGGAATAAAATAGCCCCACGTTGCTGGGTTGGTTGTTTTGAGGTTAAGGCACAAGGCACAAGAAGTTTTCGAAATGAATGTATTAACATCATTTGTTAAGAGCCGTTGTCCTGAATTCAAACTGCAGTCCCTACGCAATTATTCAAACTGGAATAACCACATAAACACTGCCTCAGAGCAAAATAAGTCTGTGAAACCCCAGCCTTCTGCCTCCAGACTGTGACCAGCCAGAAGCTCAAAGAGCACGATGGAGATAAAAAACCAAAGATTGTAATCTTCAGCATCTCAGTCATATTGTACTTCTGAACATCAAATTTTCAATACGGTGGAGATAAACAAGAGATCAAACTTTCATCTTTGGCTAGCTGGGTGAATGGGCGCTGCTAGAGCTCTCTCTCTTGCATTCGTCTGAAACCCTGTCTTAAAAAGCTTACCATCACGTCTAACTTTGAGACAATGAACTCCAACCCATGAATTTACATGAAGGGGAAAGAAAAAGCTCAGATATTCGGAACAAGAAGACTGGGCTTGCCCACACTTCCATGTGTCTCACGCCTAAAATCATAGAGTTGTAGAGTTGGAAGGGACCCCAAGGGTCCTCTAGTCCAACCCCCTGAAGAGTTTTCTGCTTCACCCACACTTTCTAGGCACAGTTTTCCCTGTGCCCCACTCGTTTCCCAGGGGAAAGCTGCTCTTTACTGCGAAATCGGAGCAAACGTCAATCCAGAGAAAACCTGAATTGTTGTTTGCTGCGATTGAGCACTAAAGAGCAGGTTTTTTGGGGGAGGGCACATGGAAGCAGCGGGACAAGAAGAATTGTGGGAAAGCCCTTACACCACTTAGACTTACTCCTTGGATTGCACGGTTATAACCTCTCCCATTGTTTATCTAGGCTTGATAGTCTATGCAGGAGGAGGCAGAGGGCCTTACCTTCCAAACACAGAAAGGAAGAACTCCTTGGGAGGAAGAATGGTGGATGTGGAGGAGGTAACTAAGGTTTACATTGACTTTAGATTCAAAGCATAGTTTTCCCCAAAGAATCCAGGAAACTGCAGTTTGCTTAGAATGCTGGGAACTGTTGCTCTGTAAACTACCATTCTCTAGGGAAACCAGGACTGTTAAAGTGTACAAATGTGATTTAAATGTGTGGTGCGGACGTAAACCTACGTTGCCTTGTTTGGATTCCATTGTTCCACCAGATAATTTGAGGGTGCGTATGGGACATCAAGATGATTTCTTTCCTCACAACAGCCCTGTGAGCAAGTGATCTCTGTGTGATAATTCAAGCAAATGGCAATACATTTTTTTTATCGTCTGCTTCCTTGGAATCGTCTGGAGTCGGCCATAAAACCCCCCAGGAGTCTTTGTGGCTCAAAGCTTAAGCAGGGAAGCGGAGCCTAAATGCTTATCCCACAGAGGACTGTTGTAGTAATAAGGGGGTGGGGGTGGCAGCCTGGGTTCTAATGCTGTATGGAAGAAGCCTTTTGACTCCTTATCTCTTCCCACAGGAGATAATCTTGTCTGTATTCCAACTGGCTTCATCAATTACTGCACCCAGCCCTAATAGTTCAGTGCTATGATCTACTTTCCAGCGGTCAATATATTTCCAGGACATTCCCCCCCCCCCCCACACACACACTCCCAGCAGAACAGCTCCATCCAAATGACACTCGCTCCATCTTTTCGTTCTAAGCGGCTTGAAGTGACGGCAACAGATGCAAAAACAGCTCTGTTTCCTTCTTACCCCCCCCTGACCTTTACCAAATTCTCTACCTCGCCACTTCCCTCTTCCCCCCCACCGGCCCCCACCCAATCCCTCTACCTCACTCCCCTCCCCTCCACAAGCTTCCGGTTCAGAAATAGAAGCAGCTTCTATTTTCAGAGAAAGCGAGAAGGGGACAGAAAGAGAGAAAGACTTGGGACGGATGGCCAGAAAAGGGGAGGGGGATGAACACCCAAGAACGCATGGATGGCTGTGAGAAACGTATTCACGCGGCACGTCTAAAACCTTTGGATATCTGAGGTTGAAAATTCGAAAGATAATAGGGTGGCCTTATTTCAAAAAATGAAAACCAGGACACCCTGAAAGTTGCTGAGCTGTTTTTTTTTTTAAAAAAAGGAAACCACCAAAAGTTCCGCCTTTGAAATCCAGGTAATGTTTGGGAAAATCCGGATATATGGCAGCTCTAAATGACATTCCACCCCACTCCCTGCCATGTAACACACAGAGATGCACACACAGTCCAAGCCGCAAAGAGTCTGAACCCAGTCAGATGGGCAGAGAAATAAATAAATAAATAAATAAATAAATATAAATAAATAAAATAGCTAATAAGAAGGAAGAGCCCCAAGCACAGCAATTGAAAGCACCTAGGCTTCCCCCAACTGGGAACTGTAGTTTGCTGAGGGTGAAGGGAATTGTAACTCTGCGAGGGAGTAAACTACAGTTCCCATGATTCTTTCGAGGGAGAGCAATGTGCTTTTAGTGTGCTTTACATTTATGGTGTGTACCTAACCCCCATCTAAAGAGTCCGCCCCTCCCTAGAAGTTTATTGGGCTGATAGTTCTAGACTCATGGGAATCAATGGACATGACTAATGTAGGCCCATCGGTTTCACTGGGTATACCCTTGAGTGGAACTTACTTGTATACAACCCAACTTTTCATTCCTAACACACTGATTGCAGACATTATGTAAAAGCCCCACTGAACTGGAGCTTCATTGCAATGGTTTGTGCCAGTGAACTGGGTCAGGCATATGCAAATCCCACCCTTTTGGGTGACTAAAATCTGCCCACAGGGGAAGGTGCCTCACTCTGTTCCAGCTTTGTTTTAAAAAATACCACGACAGTGTACCATAAAATCATTAACGCATCATAAAGTTATAAAAGCGTAGAATACAGAACCAAGTCACCAACACTGTATCAAATTAATTATTTTTAAATGGGCAGTGAAACAAAAAAACAACATCTATGGGGGGGGGGAGGGAGAGAAAGGGAAGTGAAACTTGGCCACAGCCTTCCCAAACTTCGGTGCATTTCTGTTTAAATGACACTCGCCCTTTATAAATTTTCACCTACACCTATACATTAGCATATGCAAATATGATGCAAATCTTGACCTCTATTTAGTTATTAAATAAAATGCATGTGCCGCTTGATTATAAAACACTGAAATTGAATATAAAACATTGAAATTGTCAGTTGAAAAAAACCCAGTTGAAAAACTGGTCTTTACAAATATTCAAAAGAATATTGACATCGACAGCAGCTAAAAGGAAATAAAACACATGTAACTTCTACATGTCTGGCTGGGCTTCCGGAAACAAAAAATGTTTTTAGCAGATTTTGCCGGATATCAGTATGTACTTTGCCTCTTGAACCGCCAAATATTCCCCCCCCCCCCGCTATCCAGAAGTGAGGTTGGGATGGAAGGAAAGGAGAATGCAAAATGTATTTTGCTGCTGATAAATTGTGGTGGGGGTGGGGGAAGAGGAACTGGAGTGATGAAATATAAATGATGAGGAGGATTTTCCCTCCTGCTACAGCAAGAGGTGTTTTAAAAAAAACTTAGATATATACAGTATACTAAAAATACGAAGCTTCATATATGACTAAAACATAAATTATTAGGAAAGTTTAGTCATAGATTTGCAGTCATTGTGCTTAGGCGCAAGAGGTTGCTTTGGAATGTCCATGAATCATCTCTTAATGCCAAACCAAAACACCTTCCAGTCGCCTCTGTAAGCCCCCAAACCAGTCAGAAAATGGCAGACCATTTCTGGTATGTGTACATTTAATGTGGATCACTGAGTATGAGCTAAGGAAAAAATTAACAGCCAGGTTAATAGCCCCTCCAGCCACCCCCAATTCACCCACACACAAATAGAAATAGATTTTGCCATTTTAATAAGGTGGTGAGTGGCATTTTCCGCTCTACCTTGCAGTCAACACCACTGCGTAGGACCATCCTAGCACTGCGTAGGACCATCCTAGGTGGGCTCCATGAACAGAGGTGGGGGCAGTCTTGACTTGCCCCACATTCAGTACGGCACCTACAATCTTCCCCAAAATTAAATGAGTAGCAGTTTCGCCGTGATGCAAATTTCCCGATCCTGCTCAATGCTTTAGCATTGAATTATCTCATGAGAAATTCCCTGGAAGAGGTGCTGCAACATGGTATTATCTAAGTCACACTTGAGTGTAAGTGGACAGAGTAGCTTGCCCTGGTTCCTATGCAAACAAGTAGCGGCTCAGTTAGGCCATTTTAGGAGTAGAAGTGAGAGCTGGACCATAAAGAAGGCTGATTGCCAAAGAATTGATGCTTTTGAATTGATGCTGCAGGAGACTCTTGAGAGTCCCATGGACTGCAAGAAGATCAAACCTCTCCATTCTTAAGGAAATCAGCCCTGAGTGCTCACTGGAAGGACAGATCCTGAAGCTGAGGCTCCAATACTCATAAGAAGAGAAGACTCCCTGGAAAAGACCCTGATGTTGGGAAAGATGGAGGGCACAAGAAGAAGGGGACGACAGAGGACGAGGTGGCTGGACAGTGTTCTCGAAGCTACCAGCATGAGTTTGACCAAACTGCGGGAGGCAGTAGAAGACAGGAGTCCCTGGCGTGCTCTGGTCCATGGGGTCACAAAGAGTTGGACACGACTAAACAACAATAGAAGCAGATTTGGGGGTGGGGAAAAGAGATGCAGGGCTTAGGTAGCCCGGAGATCTGTGAAAATCAGGTGCCCCAGCATAGGTGAGTGGACATTTTCCCCACTACGACAAATCCACCACAAACCACAGGATCTTGTGACACCTTAAAGACAACCCCAATTTCTCTGAACATGTGGAAAAATAGTATCTTTGATACAGCAATGTCTGAGCATCTCACCACACACAGAAAGGCAAATAAAGGCACAACAAATAGAGACACCTTCCAAGAAACGTGGG